TTGAAAGAAGTATAATACCAAGAAATGATAAGTATAATACTAATTTAATCTAAGTAATACAATTTAAATTAGAGTGATATTAGTATTATATTAATTAATGTTAAACAAAAATTAATTTAAAATAGAATGAATTTAAATCTAATAATATTATGATAAAATAAATAATATAATATTAATTAATGTTTTGATAAATTATATATAAATTAAATAATTTAAATAATTAAAAATAAAATTATAAATAGAAAAATATAAATATAAATATAAATAATTATCAAAATTATATCACATAATATTTTATATGTGATCCAAAATATTAAATAATAATAATCTTCTCTATTTAAGAGTTTTACTATAAAAACTCAAATAATTATTATAGGCTCCAATTTGTTCAATTCAATATAGAGCTTTAAATAATCATTATTATGTGAATTCTTCTATCAAGTATATATAATTTATAAGTTTCTTTATCAAATTTATTATGAATATAAAATAGCTCTTTCCATTTTTCTCCAAATTTATCATGATACCAATGTTGAGTTTCCATTTGCTTTATTAGAACTTTATTTCTAATTTCAAATTCTTGAATAATTTTATTTTGGTCATAATATTCTTTTTGTTTTAATTGCACTTTTTGAATATTTTGTAGAACTAATTCATAGTCTTCTTTTAGTTGATCAATAATTTTACAAGCTCTTTGAATTATTTGTTCTTCTAATGTTGCTTTTTGATTATTTAATAGTTTTAATTAAATATCAAGTGATATATTGATTTGTCAACTATTTGTTAAATAAAATGGTTCAAACTAAATAGTATTTTATCTTATTATTTTATATATGAATAAAAACATTTGGAAGATAGTAGTTCCAGTCTTGTAATATAGCTATATATATTTTGCGAGTACTGTACAAATTATTTTATTCAAGCATTTTACTAAACTATTTATTTGTGTATGTTAAAATACTGAGAGTTAATATTTTACTTGATATCTATCTAGAAGTTTTGCAATTAATCATTAATAAATATTATATCTCTATCAGAAATAATTTCTTTTGAATATTTATATTTATATATAATATCTTCATGTAAAAATAAAATTATAGTTGTAGTAATAATATTAGATATAATTCTTGTTTCAGCCCATTTTGTAAAATAATTAATGATAATAATAATATAGCAATTATTATATTGATAAAAGTGATCTAATAAAATCTATATTAATTTTTTCAAATAATTGAGTTACTGGTATTGGTATCAATTTATTATTCTTTTTACTTTTGTTTTTGTGCTAGTATATATCATATATTTTGATATAATTATTAATATCTGAAATCAATAGTATTTTTGATATATGTGATAATATGTATTTTCAATATTAAAATATTTAATTGAATATTCATTATATAAAACTATTTTAACTTTAGTAACTTGTTGTGATTGATTTGAATTAAGTTTATTTTTTTTATATAGATGATTTTTGTTAATAAAATATTATTTAGATTTGATTAAAAATTTTTGGATTTGATCTATTAAAAGATAGTTCAGTAGTTTTAGTGAATCAAGATAATTATATAATTTAATATATTCATTCAAATTTATTTTGAATAATTATTGTTATCTAATATATGTAATATTTTAAAAAGTGTATTTATATTAAAATAGATTTTGTCTTTTTTATGAATTATATTCTTAAAGTTTCATTATCTAATAAGATAATTTTTCAGATGAATTTGATTTATTAAATAACCAAATAAAATAACATGATCAGTTATTAATTAAAATGGTATTGTTATCATTTGATATTTTGAATTACATGTAAAATATCATGTAACATAATTTTGATAATTATTTATATTTTTCTTTTATATTTTTTATTTATAATTTTATTTTTAATTATTTAATTTATCTAATTTACATATAATTTATCAAAAACACCAATTAATTCTTTTTAATATCACATTATTTATTTTATTATAACATTATTAGATCTAAATTCATTCTATTTTAAATTAATATTAATTAATGTAATGCTAATGTCACTCTAATTTAAATTGTATCGCTTAAATTAAATTAGTATTATACTTATTATTTCTTGGCATTATACTTCTTTTAAATTAATCTTATAATTATTTTTAAGTAACGTCACTCATCATATAAATCTGTATTATATTTACATGTATTTAAATAAATATAATTTAACATAAAATAACAAGAATTTCAGTAGTAATTTTGAAAGTAATAAAAGTATAGAAGTTAATTAATACTTCTAAATCATTTTTTGCTTATTATTATCTTTGATTTATTATTTACTTAACTTTGACTTATCCAACTAGTGAAAGTTATCTTTTGTATTTTAATAAATCATTCGCACTTTTGAATTATAAAATACTTATTCAACTAGTAAAAATATCAGAATCTATTTTTTTTAATACTCTCTCCCAATCATCTAGTATTTAATTCTTTCAAGTACACACAGTCACTATTATTGCTCTTATATAATTCTTAATTAATTACTATAATTAGTTAATATCTTGTTCATCAATATAAAACAGTAATAATATTAATAAATTTTATATAAAAACAATATAAAATAAAATTTTTGTATAAATATGAGTGTTATTTTAATATATTTTTTCATGTTTCTCCAATTTTAATAAATATAATCTAATTTATAATATTAATTATTATATTAAATACTATATTTATTCTTTATTTTTGAATCTAATTCAAAATAATTGGCTAAAATAAGTTAAAATCAAACATCAAAACTTGTTAATTCAAGTTAGTTTTTATTGAAATTGTTTATAATTATTATGTTAAGGATATATTTTATGAATTAATTGATTTGTTATTGAGTATTGATATTTAATTTTGTTATTTTTGATATTATTTTGATTAGTTGTGCATCATAACTTTAAATAAGTAATTTTCTTTTAATATTTATATTATTTGGTATAGTTGAGTATCTTAACTCTAAATAAGTGCATTAATTTTATTAGTATTTTTGTTATTTTGATTAGTATTAGTATTTTTGTTTAATATTGATGAATGTGAACATAATAGTTTTGCAGCCAATATTTCATTGATTAGTTAATGTTTCTTTAGTTATTTCACCCTTTTAAACTATTTCTCTATATATGAGATTGTTTAACAATTTTCATAAAAATTGGCACAGGCATTAGATATTTATTTTTGCTTTTACTAATTTTATTTTATTCTAATTTGTTCTCTCACACATTTTTGTATAACTATTAATACTGAAAGTGAAGAAATCCTTCATTATTACATATCGTTAGTAATACAAATTTGCTTAATTCGAATAAATATGAGCACACATATAATTCAGGGAATAACTTCGTGGTGGTCGAGAACAAAAGTAAGGGAAGTATAGTAGGTGTGTTTGAGTATACTGAACTATACGTATACTTGGAAATGCACCACCCAACACTTCTATAATTTTGTTTTGTAGTAAGATATTTTAACTGCATTTATAAATCGCGTTCTTACATTGTAACTGCGATCACTATGACGTAGCACGTGTTTGAGATAACGTGAGATGCAGAATTGATCATGAGGGGGCTTTATTTCGGATAAATTAATCGTGACAGAATAAATGCTTTGCAGGTTAGATCCGCACAATCGTGTCCAAGTCCACATGTTTTTCGGCACTTCATGCCGGCTCACGCCGTGCGACCCAATTTCTCACATTGGTATTTTTTTTATTGCACCTACGCTAATTTTCATGTTTTTCGCCGATCACAAACTTGATCTTTCCATAACGATTCCCCTATAATAAAACTTTACCCCCTCTTGCGAAAATTCCGGATGTAGTGCTAATTATAGTTGGACCAAACCAATTTCGAGCGATCTATGAGTGGTTATATAGGTACTATGGGGGTGAGAAATATTTGCAATGCTCTTGCTTTGAGGGTATTTTGACGTATGGCAACTGAGGAAGTACCTGAAGTCTCGTCCATCACCTCCAAGAGCGATGCCGATGCTGAAGTCTTCCAACTTGAAGCACTTTCCTTAAATTACCTACGAAGCCAAAATATTTCAGTAATTCCGGATGATGACCATATACCAAAACTTCGTCCGTGCAAGCTCTGCAATAAAGCTATATTTGGATTCCGATTAGAAGCTTTCACGGCATTACACTGTGGGCACTTGTTCCATCGAATATGTCTTGAAATACATATTATTCGGGGTGCGACAAAATATCCTACATGTCCTACTTGCGGAATCGCTATTGAGATTTTTAGAGAAGAATCCGCACTTGCTTCTGGAAAATGTGGAGTGATGCCCAAAGAAAAAGCATCACAACAATCTAACGTGACCATAGACGACGATGAAGGCGAATTGGAATTTATGCAAGAGATAGGGTTGATGGAAAGAGATGCCTCTTCCGTTTCGGCTGAAAAAACAAAGCAAGTTATTATGGAGGATCAAGCAACAAGCCTGATTGCAAATAATTCTATATCTACACAAGAGCAAGCTACAAGTCCTATTAGCAACGTAAAAGGTGAACAAACTTAGTGCAGATTAATTCCTCCAATCAATCAGATATAAATGATATCGCTACAGATGAGGAATGTCACCGTTGATGCACAAACTCGAACATCTCGACAAGCTTCTCCCAAGATTACTCGTGAGCAGGAAAAATTGCAAGGTTTATTGCATGAGTTATCTACGCCTATCAAAGGAGAGACCGATGAGGATGGCAATGAAAGTTCTGAGAATTCGATGTCGCAGAGTTTAGCCCGATTATATCAAAAAGCAAGTTTAGCGAAGAAACGTGTGACGAAGACCAATCAGGATGAAATTTTGTGTTGGTATCACTATGCGGAAGGATTCGAAAAGAAAGTCAAGGATATCATGGATAATAACAAAAAGTTAAGAATCAACAAGCTAGAATCCAAGTACACAATTTCATTATTCCGCATCTTCCAGGGAAAACCTGCGTAAGAAAACTCAGAAGGCTAGAAATATCCATAAAATATTCAAGAAAATAGGGGTAAAGAAAATTAAACGAGTTGTGTCTTATAGCGCTGATTCAATTTCAAAGTTAACTGGTATCCAAATCCAAACATTATAGATCTCTTTACCAATTCTACTATTGGTCACGTGATTTTATCATCGTGAACTTCGGTTCACGCCACGTGACGTGTGGCGCAATATATATTAAATTGACATGCCGATCAATGCATGTAATACTATACTGATCATGTAATAACTATATTTCATTAATAAAGCATTCATTTATTTTATATCGGGTTTGTGAAATGTAAATTGCATATTATAAACGTTGTATTGCTATGAATCAGCTAATAAAATTTCATTCCTAATGCATACACATACTTAACACGAAAAAATGTATAGCCACGTTGTGACTGCGAAGCAAATCATTAACAGGTGCTAATCAGATCGTATAAACGTTCTAGAAATGGTTCTGAATGAATCGATCTTTCCGCTACTTAAATTCTGCATCGTCATCATCATCAGAAAACATTACGCTCATATCATTTTTTCATGATTGACTGATAAAATTACTACATAGAGCTCCATTGGAACAACCATGAATAATTCAGGTTACATTAAACAAAAATAATTATTGGCCCGCTGAAATGTGATTTCATGATATTGTAAGAATTGCATCTTGCAATCTCCATAGATCTATAATAAAGTTATTGGGTACATCACCGGGAACACAGCCAGGAACATCGTTAAAAAGTAATATGGTAGGAATATAAATTTGATATTCTGGCATATTGGCATGATCACAACGAATCCCGCCAAAATCGTCATCGACACCAGTAATCATATTGGCTGGAACGCGTATAGTATTTAGAAGATATGTTCGCGAGATATCACTAAGAGGTGCTGTTCCGAAAGACTTCGCAATTACAAGTATTGTTGGATTTTGATTGTTACGTAAGTAAAGTAGTGCAAGAAGCGCAAAAGTACCATCCTGGCGAGTTGGGTACAACTTAATGGCTAAATAAATTTGGATAGTAGTCCGTTAAGAAAAATATTTTTCTGTCAATTCGTGTAAACTGTTTAAACTTTCAGTATTGCCAATCTCAACCACCAGAGTAGGGTATGGATTTCCTGATGAATTGACTGCTCGTAAGGATTGAGGTTGATGGCGATTCAATGGTCGAACACAAATATCAGGACGACAGACACTTCTTGTATCCAAATAACATCTAATTCAATAATAACTCGCAACTGTCTACTCCAGTTTCCCATTATAAGATTCAATTCTCCATGTACCAGTCCGTGAGGGTCGAGAGGCATTTCGTAAGCTTCGATTTTTCCGTCGATCAAACGGTGATTAACCGAAACTTTTGGTTCTTCTTCACAGAATTTAAGATAAGTATTACGTAGTATATTTCTGTCAATAATAATTCCCTTTCGTTTTACTTCCTCACTTCCTTCTTGTCTAATAGCAAGAAGCTTGTGTCTTGCTGAACCAAATGCTGAGAACCATATAGAAAATAATTTCTCGTTCTGCGACATTCTTTAAATGGCAAATCATGTGAATTGCGATTTTTAACAGATCAACATTAAAAATAAGTATTCTTTTTACATCGGGTTTGTAAAATGTAAATTGCATATTATAAATGTTGTATTGACTATAAATTAGCAAATAAAATTTCGTATCCTGATATACACACGCGAAAAATGATATGTACACATAAATGTTGCCGAAAATGTTATAATCCAATTATATAGATGTGACATGCAAAGCTAGACCTGGCCTGGTTAAAAATTTGTATGAATTGTGTATGGATTTTTTCCCATTCTTTCATAAAATCATCAAGCCATGCAGTACTTAAACCCCTCTTTATATATTGTGACATAATAACTCTTCACCAATTAGCCTATCCTGATCTATTAAGAATTTATGATACTTTCTAGGATCTTCTTTTTTCTTTATTTCAGCTTGATAAAATCACATATATCTTTTCAAGTCCTCATGAAAACATTCTATGAGTCATCTTTTTTTCTCAGCTTCAGTAGTGATCAAAAATTTCTCAGATTTTACCTCTTGAATTTTGATTGGTACACTTACTTGAATTTTTGATAAGCTTTGTATAGCAATTATAACTTTCTTTTGATTAATACAAAAAGAATAATTAAGAAAATAATAATTATTTTTATTTAGATAGCTTTAGTCATTTCATATACCTAAATATGTATATATTTTTTTATATACTGAATATTCAGCTTCCAAGTTAGTATATTTAAATATATCTTGATATTATATATTAGAATTGGTATATATCAAGAAAGGAAAATATTTCTAAATTACATCAATAATTATATATTTTTTTTTGAAAACTTAGAAATCTTAATAATACTATTCTATATAATATAATTATTAGTATTCTTTTTGATTTGTGAAAATTCAAAAGTTTCAGACTTTATTTAGAAATCAAATTCAGTTTCTTCTATATATCCTCTATATAAGCTTGAATGAATTTTATCTATAAAAAACTTGATAAATCAACTAATTTAGCATATTATTTATAATAATTATTAATTAATATTTTAGATGAATAATCTTATTATGAAATAATATTAGAAGACATGTTATTATTTTGTAAATATAAATTAATTCAAAATCATGTAATGATCACCAAAAAAATAAAATAATTCTGATTTTTTTATTCTAATAATTTTTATTTCAGAAAAGTACATTAATAAAATTAGCAATTTATATTATTATCTCAATTTCATGCTTTTCATATTTAATAAAATAAGATTTAGTTTCATTTATTTTTCTTTTTTGTAATTATGCTTGTATATAACTTATCAATAATTTTATAATAATCAAATTTTTTATTACTAAATTCTTTAAATCAGAAGAATATTGTCACAATATTTTATTATAAAAATAATTATAATTATGGATTAGGATTCTGAAAAAAAGTCTGATTCAGTTCAAGCCTGGTTCAGTTCAAGCTTGAACCAGACTTGAATCTAATCAAAAGTCCAGTTCAAAAATTTGAATCTAATTAAAAGTCTAGTTCGAGTTTGAAATCAGACTCGAACCTAACCAAAAGTTCAGTTCGAGTTCAAGTAAATATTTGTTGATGTTCTAAGTAAAATTGTAGATTGTAACATGAACTACAAATTAATATAAGATAATTAATATTTAGGATAAATATTTAAGAAGTTATATGAATTTAAAAAATAATTTTAATTATTACGATTTTAATTTACTTTAGTTTTAGTATAAT